CCAGTCCCCTCACCATCCTCGCAGCCCTCCACTGGACTCTCTCCAGTAGCTCCTCATCTTTCTTGAAGTGGGGAGCCCAGAACTGGACACAGCACTGCAGATGAGGCCTCACTAGGGCAGAGCAGAGGGGAAGGAGAACCTCCCTCGACCTGCTGGCCACACTCCTCTTGATGCACCCCAGGACTCGGGCTACCATGAAGGCATGTCCCAGCTGGTGGGGAACCCACCTGCTTGGGGACAACAGCACGGCGGTGAGCCCTCGACACTTACCCGCCGATCCCTGACGTGTGGGGGTTGACGATTCCCGCGCAGAGGGCCGAGGCGATGGCTGCGTCTACCGAGGAGCCCTGCTTGTTGAGCACCTCTATGCCCAGCGCCGTGCAGCGGGCAGCGTCCGTGACCACGGCGCCGCGGTGGAAGATCTGCCGAGAGAGGAGGGCGGCTGTGCCCGGGCAGGGGGGCTGGGGCCGCCCAGATCTTCACCCAGCTCTAAGGGACCTGAAGCCCGAGGCCAGCGCCGAGGCTGTGGCTGGTCTGCATTTTCAGGTGCCTCCAAATGCCGGGGGGAGTCATGCGTCCCTTGGCACGTCCCTGCACCAGGGCAGCTGTGGCCACTCTGCGTGTAGCTCTGGCCATCAGCTCAGCCGGCTTTCAACAGCAGACATGCTAAGCTGGTGGGCCACATCTCACCCTGTCCTCTGCAACCCCAGAGCAGGGTCAGGCTAATCCTCAAGAGCAACGGGCGACGGCATGCTGCCCCTGCGCTGCAGCAACGCGGTCACTGGAAACGGGAGGCCGGCTGCCAAGCACGCAGCGTCCTCCCCAGTACCACGGCTTGGTTCCCATCCTTCCCTGGCGCCAGCGCTAACGCAGTCACAGAATTTATTCAAGGTTCACTTTAACCCCACGGTACAAATGGCAGCATCTCAGCACGAGCCAGCGCGGCCTCGGGAAGTGCAAGGCTGGAAGGGCTGTGGCAGGCTGTCGGGCAGGACTGGCCCTTCCAGCGGTGCCGCGGAAGGGGCTGCGTCGCACAGCCTCCTCCCAGCGCCAGCCGCAGGGCCAAGCTGCTCCCAGCCCAACCGTCGGGCTTCGCTACT